GCTGGAGACCAGCCTGAAGGCACAGAGTCCTTAAAGGGCTGGGGAGGAAAATGAGCGGGAAGAACCCTCCGAAAGGCGTGGTTGCACTGAGCGGCCCCAGGAGTCAGCGCGAGGACAGGCGCCCCCGCCTTGGGTCTCGGAGGAGGGCGGGGGCAGGCAGCTGCTGGGTCTGAGGGGCCGATCCATGGTGAACAGACCCCTAAGTGTGAGGCGGGAACGGTGGAGAGAAGAGTGCAGAGCCCCAGCTCACAAGTCTGGCTGAAGGGACAACTGCTGGGCCACGGGGAGATGGGGACAGAGGTGAGGAAGAGAAGGTGGGTTACCTGCATTTAGGTTTCGTCTCTTGTTTGCTTAACGATGGGAGAGGTTAAGTGTCTGACAGTCACTAAGGACAGGGATGGGAGAGGTAGGGGAGGTGAAGGAGGCAGGGAAAGGTCTCTCAGAGGGATCGGAGCCACCTCACACCAGCGAGCACTCCCACGGAAACAGGAGGAGCTGGTTAGGATGGGAGGTCTGCTCTCTGAACCCTCCATGCTTCTGAATGTACCCAAAATAAAGAACTCAGGTTAATTTAATGAAAACCAGCAGTAATGGAGGAGATCTGGTGGGGCAGTGGTTAAAGCATTCAGATGGCAACCAAAAGGTCCAGGGTTCGAACCCACCAGCTGCTTCCACAGGAGACGGATGAAGCAGTCTGCTTCCGTAGATTTACAGCCTTGGAAACCCATGAGGCAGTTCTACTCTGTCTTAAAGGGTTGCTGAGTTGGATCCAATTTCGATTCCACGGCAGTGGTTTGGTTTTGTGATAATGGGCTCTAGCACTGTCTTCGAGACACCAGAAGGGGGCAGGCCAGGCTGTGTGGTTGGCCAGGACACCCAAGGACCGCTCTACAAAGACCCTGTGTGCCCGGGAAGAAGGCACAAGTGCAGGTGCTCAGTAAAGACTTGTCAGGTGAGTGAGAATTACATTAATCAAGTTTGACCAGAATGACTAGTCTCTCTCAATGCTCTGAAAAAACAAAACCAAAACGAGACCCCTTGCCATGGAGTCAGTCCTTATTTGTAGCAACCCTACTCGGAAGGAAGATGGGGCAATCTACTTCCATAGTGATACTGCCTCGGAAACTCAAGGAGGGTCGCTATGAGTCGGGTCTGACTCGACAGCGCACGACGACGACAACAGGACAGGAAAGAACTGCCCACAGAGTTTCCAAGGCTGTAAGTCTTTACGGAAACAGATTACTACGTCTTTCTTTCTCCTTCAGAGCACTGGTGGGTTCAAACTGCCAACCTTTCCGTTAGTAGCCTAACAGCCACTGTGCCACCAGGACTGCTTCTCAGATGCTGGTTGTTGTTGTTGGGTGAGGTTGAGTCAGCTCCGGCTCACAGTGACCCCTTGTGCAACAGAACAAAACAGTCTGGTCCAGCAGCACCCTCACAACCCTTGTTAGTGAGCTCACCTCTGCATTCACTGTCAGTGCATCTCATTGAGAATCTTCCCCCTTTTTACTGACCCTCCACTTTACCAAGCATACCCTTCTCCAGGGACTGGTCCTTTTTAACAACATGACCAAAATAGGTGAGACCAAGTCTGGCCATTCTTGCTTCTAAGGAGCATTCCAGCTGCACCTGTTCCAGGATGGATTTGTTCGTTCCTCTGGCAGTCCATAGCATTTGCAGTATTCTTCACCAGCACCACAGTTCAAAGGCATCAACTCTTTTTCGGTCTTTCTTATTCACTGTCCAGTTTTTGATGGGACATGTGTATGACGTGAGTAAGAATACCATGGCTTGGGTTAGGTATGTTGTTGTTGTTATTTGCCGTCGAGTCAGCCCCGACTCATAGTGATCCCTCCTTGGGTTTCCGAGGCAGTATCACTACAGAAGTAGGATTACCCAACCTTCCTTCCGAGGACTGGCTGGTGGGTTTGAACTGCCAGCCTTCTGGTTAGCAGTCAAGTGCCTTAGGCACTATGCTACCAGAGCTCTAGTCTTCAAAGTGACATCTTTGCTCCTTAACACTTTAAAGAGATCTTTTGCAGCAGATTTGCCGAGGGCAGTACATCTGATTTATTGTTTTGTTGTTGTTGCAGTGTTGCCTCCCCATCGTCTGATTCTTGACTGCCGCTTCCATGGTGTTTTGGTTATTACCTAATGCCACTCTGACAATATACCTCAAGTGGAATGGCTTGAACAAACAGGAGTTTATTCTCTTATAGTTTGGAGGCTTTAAGTCCGAGTTCAAAGTGCCAGGCTCTAGGGTCTGGGTGAAAGCCCCTCAACCTTGGGCTTCAGCTCTGCCTCCTACTCCAGCCCACTGAAGCTGGAGGCTTTTCTTCAAAGCTGCTGGCTATTGAGGCTGCCAAACCCAAGGTCAACAAGTAAAAAGACAGTGTCAATGTTACCAAACCACACGGCAGGCCATTAATTCAAGTCCACTGTAAGTCCCAAGATCAGCAGAGCATGGCAGGCTACTGAATGAAGACTCAGCTATAGGCAGGGTTCAAGTGTCCCAAATAGCTGGAGACCTTCCCCAAAGTTGCTTCTTATATACGGGTAGCAGCCCACATCCCTAAAGCAGCTTACTCAACTGCTCCAATAGATTCCACCATCGAGTTTATTACCAATCTCACTGTGGGGATTAACTACACCCAGCTGCCCAGCCACTCAACCAGACCCAGCCCAGTTGACACACAAACTAAACTACCACACATGGGTATTGATTGTGGATCCAAGTAAACTGTAATCCCCAGCTTCAATCTGTTCTGCATTTATCATAATGTTGCTTAATGGCCCAGTTGTGAGGATTTTTGTTTTGAGGTATAATCCATCCTGAAGACTGTAGTCTTTGATCTTCATCAGTAAGTGCTTCAGTCTTCCCTTTCAGCAAGCAAGGATGTGACATCTACATATGGAAGGTTGTTCATGAGTCTTCCTCCAATCCTGATGCCATATGCTGCTTCATATATTCCACCTTCTCGCATTATTTGCTCAGCATATAGATTGAGTAAGTATGGTGAAAGGATACAACCCTGATGCACTCCATTCCTGATTCTAAACCATGCAGTATTCCCCTTGTTCTGTTCGAATGACAGTCTCTTAGTCTACATACAGGTTCCTCATGAGCACAATTAAGTGTTCGGAAATTCCCGCTCTTCACAATGCTCTGGATCCACAGAAATAAGTTACACTGTTCGGTACTGCTCCCGCCCTCTCAGGATACCCATCCAGGAAGCGTGTTTTCACTTTTCAGATGTGTTTACTGAATGCTGGGCATTCCCAAAAGCAAGCGGGCCCCAAGACACAAAAGAACAAGGAGACTCTCTGCAGAAGTTATAGTCAATGGAAAAACAACCAACCAACACACTCACAGCGACGCTATTTGAGCAAATGAGTCAAACCCCCTCCCACCACCCCACTGACTGACTCAGCAGTTTGGCTCAGCGATCTCAAGGTGGCCTTGACATTGTGGGGACAGTGGCCCGTGCGTCCCTGCCACACTCACCACCTCTCAAGACAGGGCTCTCACTATGGAAATGCACCTCTAAAACTCTGTACCTGGGAAGCCACCATCTCTAATGCTTCTCTTTTTACATAGAAAAATGTTTTCTTCAAGACCTTGCTAAAGTTCAAAGCTGAACAGCTACGTTCAGATCCTTAGGAACCAAGGATAAAGCTGAATGAAGAGTGGGATACTGTGCAGAAAACAAAAATAACTAGATTACACCGTGACTTTCAAGGTGGCCTCCAGATTACGGACGAGATCTGCTCCTGTGTCTTTAAGAAATTTAAGTAAGTGGGAACAGATGCACATGGTTCTTATCTAGCCTTTAGTGCAGGAAAAGGAAGACATCTTTTCATTGTTTTAAAAGCTGCACGTGCTGCGAGTGAAGGTGATTGATGAAGTCCTTGTGAGTAGGAGTTGGTTCAACTGTTTCAAAAGTGAGGGCAAATTTACACACCATTAAAGCAGGGTTTCAAAGATGGCGGCCCACTGGCAGCTCTGAACGTGTGTGGCTCTCCACAGGCCTGCCGATAATCCGGTCTCACATCAGGCTCCTGGAAGGGCTCGTTGCCTCTTCCGAGTCTCCCATTCCAGGGCTTGAAGCTGTTAACTGTCCCCATTCTGGTTATCATGATCAATCAATCACCCAAAATGAAGATCCTAGTCAGTTCCTGGTTCACTTCGTCAGCCATGCATTAAAGGGCAAGCTGGCGGTTCAAACCCGGCAGCCGCTCCTGGAAGGAAGGTGGGCAATCTACTTCCACAGTGACACCGCCTTGGAAACCCAAGGAGGGGTCGCTATGAGACAGGGCCGACACCAGGGCACATAACAACAGGAGTTATCTGTAAATCACATGTTTGTAACCCAGGGACTGCCTGTACTGATCAAAACATCCCCAAGGTCCAGAACACTGAGTCTTTTTTCCTTCACTAAACTCAGGTTCTTTCTCAGATCTAACTCCGCAGTGGCCTGTTCTTGTTACATGCCATCGAGTCGGACCTGACTTACAGAGACCCCTCCTTGGGTTTCCGAGGCGGTATCACTATGGAAGCAGATTGCCCAGTCTTCCTTCCGAGGAGCGGCTGGTGGGTTTGAACCGCCAGCCTTCTGGTTAGCAATCAAGTGCCTTAGGCACTATGCTACCAGAGCTCCTCCGCAGTGGCCTAGGAGCCATTATGTTCTCATTTGCTGCCCTGCTGCCATCAGTCCTGTAACTGTTGGTTCCTAACACACTCGAGAAAACCGGGTCAACACCCCGAGGCGGGCCTTCCTCCGAATGATTTATAGAAAGAAAAGTCCCGGCTGCAAACAAAGGTTCCACATCCAAGGATTTCTTTATTGTGGAGAATATTTACAGAACTTCACATTCTGTACCCCAAAATTCCAAGGAAGCACCGTACAGTGGGTACTGCAGACAGTCTGATTTACACAAGCCAGCCCCAGACGGGCATCCCTGGGAGGGCGAGAGGCGCTGGCTGGGGGGCCGTGCTGCACTCAGGCGCTGGGTCTTCCAAGCAGAAAGGCCACCAGGGCCCACGTGGTGATTATGCCACAGACTCTGCAAGGCAATGGCGCAGGTCAGAGGGCTGGGCCACCAGGCAGGCCCCTGAGCACAGACAGGCAGAAAAGCAGCCAACGGGGGCTCGTCCTGCAGGGCCCCACTTTGTTCCTCCCAGTCGTCCTCCCAGTGCTGATACCAAATGTCCCCTGTCACAGTGAGTCTGGGGTACACAGGAAGATTGATTCTTCCTAGTGGCTTGCACAGGCTGTTCACAGAAGGAGAAAAGCAACGCCTAGGAGCCAAACGTCTTTCTCCCACAATATTTGGTTTGTTCTGGCTCCTGACCAGCCAGCCAGAATCCTTATTGAGCTTAATTAGCCACACCTCCACCTTCCCAGGTACTCAGACCAAAAACCCTGGATTCACACCACCTTGGAGGCAATCTGTCACCGGCCCCCCTTCTCACCACTTCCACTGTGCGGTGACTCCACCTGGTGTCCCACTGCACCCCTCACCCTGTCTCCTCCACAGTCCTTTCAGAACAGACATCACATCGTATCCCCTCCATTCAAAACCTTCCACAGTGCCCAGCTTCTCCCAGGAGTGCAGCCCGCAGCTCTCAGCACAGTCTGGGCCCGGCTACTCTCTGCCATATCCTCTGCTTCTTCTCCTCTCCTCTCCTCACCACTTCTGGTCTGGTCACAGGGCATCTTATGACACATGGAGGCCCACCTGGCGCTCTCTCTGCCTGGCACACTGTCCCTAGATAACCCTGGGAGGGTCTTGCCCTCACTGCCTTCAAACCTTTACTGTCACCTCTTTAGTGAGGGCCACCCCCACTGCCTCCTTTGCATTGTGACACCCCCCAAGCTGTCCCACCATCCCACTCCCTGACCCTGCTCTATCTAATCAACCAAGCAACTCACTGCCATTGAGTCAGATCTGACTCACAGCGACCCCTCCTTGGGTTTCTGAGGCGGTATCACTAGAGAAGTAGATTGCCCCCATCTTCCTTCTGGGGAGTGGCTGGTGGGTATGAACCACCAGCCTTCTGGTTAGCAGTCGAATGCCTTAGGCTCTCTGCCACCAGAGCTCCCCTGCTCTAGCCAGCGTTTAATAAACCACCTGCAGGCACACCTTGTCGTCTTGTGCCTCGCTTTACTGCGCCTCACAGACAGTGCATTTTTTACAAATTGAAGGTGTGTGGCCACCCTGCATCCAGCAAGTCTACCATTTTTCCAACAGCAGGTGCTCACTTTGTGTCTCACAGTATTTCAGATTTTTTCATAATACTACATGCTTAATAGACTGCAGTACAGCATAAACGCAATTTTTCCATGCACTGGGAAAGCAAACAATTCATGTGGCTCACTTTACTGTGGTGGCCTGAACCCAACCAGCAGTGTCTCTGAGGTCTGCCTGCGTTGTCACTCATCAAGCCAAATCCCACTCATGGAGCCACCGTGTGCGTCAGAGTAGAACTGTCCCATGGGGCTTCTCAATGGCTGTGACCTCCCGGAAGCAGATCACAAGCCTTTCTCCTAAGGTGCCTATGAGCGGGTTCAAACTGCCAACTTCAGCAGTAGTTAGCTTCAGCAGTAGTTAGCTTTAGTTAAGGGCTTAACCTCAGTGCCACCCCAGGACTCGCGGTTGAGTAAACGTGTATCACCTAATAACCCATAATTCACTATGTTTATGCCTTGTGTGCATCGCCTCCTGCAGGACTGGTAAGTCCAGAGAACCGTGCCCACCACAGCCAGCACTCAGTAAGTGCTGGTGACACTGCTCAATGCAGACCACCATTCTCATCAACAGCTTCGTTACAATACCCAATGGCTAGTGAACGGCTTGACTCAGACCCGACGGAAACGCAGAGCCATCAGGAAGGCAAAGCTTCAGTGTTGCTACTTACTGTAACAAGCAGTTGATATCTGGCGAATGTCGCCAGTACCGATACAGGGACACCTGGAGGTCGGGGTGATGTCTGTATTCCTTTAAGACATTCCGAGCGCTGCCAACAGAGGTGTTCTGTGGTCAGTCAAGCACCCTCACTAGACCTCCTGCTCCCACGAGGCCCAGAGTGGAGAAAGGCACAGAGGTGGGGGTGACTGCAGGGACCAGAGACCAACTGAGAACCCAGGCACCCACTCCTTAAACTTATTGGTCAGAAGCAGGAACTGGCTCTGCGTGAGGCGCCTGATGTCAAACTTGCAGAGGCTCTGGAACTCCCGGTAGACCTGCTGCTCGCTGACCCCCAGCCACCTCCTGACACTGAGGACCAGGATGGGAGGTCGGATGCTGGGATAATCCGGACCCGAGAAGTTCTAGAAAACATGGAGAACAGCAAAAGGGATTTCCCACAGTTCCCACTGACATGTCTTCCAATCTGAAAATCCTAAAGGAGAGATTAGGAAAGGCTCTGTGGAGGGTGGCGGGTGGAAGGTGAGGGGTGGGGGAGAAGGGAGGCGTGCAGGTGTCCATGGCAGGTTTGGGTAGAAGGACACAAGGAGCCCTGATGCCAAGCTTAGTGGGCGTGGTCATCATCGGAACCCCACGGGCACATGTGAGAGGAGGCAAGCAGCTCCGCCTCCCGCTTCACAGGCCTCCAGACTGCGTGAAGGAGCAGCATGGCATCTACTCACGACTTTAGGGACCCCGGCGCGGATAAGATTCACTTGGTTCACATAAGGGGCCAAGGCATCCAGGTACTGAGAGAAGGAGGGCTCTGGTGCAGAACGGCTGCTGCAGAGACAAAGCCAGCCGTCAACACTCAGGCCCCAGGACCGTTCACAACACCCCAGATGTAGCCAAGGGCCTGGAGACAGACCTGGGGAAGGCCGACATCAGCCTGCTTCCCCCAACTAACAACTTCAAGACCCCACCCAAACGAGCAGGACTGCCAGAGGGAGCACCATCCTCTGTGGACACTTTGGTGAAGGTCCCTCTGCAGACAAACAGTAGCAGCAGACACTCAGTGGCAGGCCACGTGCTCAGAGGAGGTGGCACTCCATCAGCCCTGGACAGGATGCCTCCAGCGTCTCACTCCAGCATCAGCCCAGCCCTGCCCACACACCACCACACCCTGAGCCAGGCCCCACAGTGAAATCCCAGACTCTGCAGCCAGGCCCACAAGTTACCCTTGACATCCTCCCCTTCTCAATGTGGCCATGGGACCACAGGGCTTACAGCAAGGGCTCAGTGACTCCGGCCCAGTGACTAAAGAGGATGAACAGAAAACCACACTCACCCAGACACTCTCTGTAGGAGCAAGTGGGCCACTTTCAAAAGAACTGGAAAAGAAAGCTAGACATGTGATCACCCCGAGGCCCAATGGGATGGCCTTATCCAAACACGTAACATCACGTTTTATCTCAGGTACGTGCAAACCAGCTGGGGATAAATGGCTTGCCCAGGTGGTAGGGGCCTGGCACAGACGGTCTTCCTGGGAAACACAGTAACTCCTACCTGACCCACAGAGGAAGGCATCGTAAGCTGCTTCATGGGGGCACTTGGTCTCCACTAAAACACCGCAAGGAGAAGAGAAAATATCGAGCAGTGGTGAGAATCACGGCCTAGAGGGGGGGAGGGTCTCTATCCCCCACCTGGAATCAGCGCTCATGCCCACCAACCACCACCAGTGTTGCTCCTCCAAACCACAGCTGCCCATCTCCCCACACTGCTGCCATGTTTACCGTGGTCTTCTCCCTGGTGGCGAGAGGAGCCACAGGAGGAAAAAGTAAGGACCCAAGAGCTTCCAGAGGGACTGAACACCCGATGAAGGAGGAAATGGACACTCAATTTCTAAGGTCACTCAAGGTGAGGCTCAGCAGTAAACGAAAGGCTAGCAGTTTGAACCCACCCAGTGGCTCTAGCAATGTGCTTTGGTACATAATTCAGCCAAGAAAACGCTACAGGGCAATTCCGTCACCTGGGTTCTCCAGGAGTCGGATGGACTCCACGGCACACAACAACATCTACAACAGAGCACCAGCCCACGAGCCCTCCCCACCTATCATGCAGTGAAACCCAGGCTAAGGAGAGCTCTCCTAAGGTCCAGCTCTCCACTCCGTCGACCATGAAAGAAGCTGGATCTAGTGGGAACATACCGTACTTCTCACACTTGCTTGCATGAACAATCACGGGTGCAGAATCCTTAGTGGGATTCAAGTCACTATTAGAGAAGAAATACAGGATAAAGAACAGCTCTTGAAGACAATCCTTCTAGTTCTCTCCTCACCCCCTTAAGTTAACAGAAACAAAACTGTGTCCTCACTCCTCAAATGCCTGTAAGAACAGAAGCACGGAAGTGGGTATGGCCAGCCCAGGTCTCTGCAAGGAGCCGAGAGGACAGCATGAAAGAACCCCAAGGCAAGAGGCACCAAAGAAACCATCCTGGCCACTGGCCAAGTACTGAACCTAGATAAACTGGCCGCTGTCCCTGCCCTCAGGCACCCAGTATCTGGCAGCATGATATGGGTACTAGAACCACTACATCTTTAAACAGTGCCTGAGACGAACTCGGGAGCTGGCTGACTCAGCTGAGGAGATGGGGTAGAGTCAGGCGTTTCAAGCTGAGGGGACAGGGAGGAGAGAGCTGAGGCTCCCAGAGAGGAAGTCCGGCCATACCACTATGCAAAGGGCAGGACCAGACAGTGAAGGGCCTGTAAGACACAGGGAGGGTTCTGGAGCCACTGGGAGATCCAAAGCAGAAAAAAGGCCCAGTCATACGCACACTCATCATGATCATTCCCGTGGCAGCTGCGACATGAAGCATTCAACAAGGAAATCTTCATTTGGTCTCTAATTAAACCTGTTAATGCCTGTATGTGCTCTACCCACAGAGCCCTAATCCTCCCATCAGTAAGGTGGGCGTGGTCACTCCTCCCGCATCATAAGGGAGCCGTTACCACGGTACATAGCTCCTAAGATGCCATCAGGTGCAGCAACGGTAGCTGACGTTCTACACACAAGCATCCACTCAAGGCCCCATGCCGAGGTCCTGCACATGTATTGAGTCATGAAAGCCTCACAACAACGTTGAATCACATGTGACTACTTCCTCATTTTACAGATGGACACACTGAGGCACAGAGAGAGATCATGTAATATCTCCGAAGTTACTTATAGGCTAGTGAGTGATAAAGCTAGGGTTTACATCCAAGTGGTCCTCATTCAGAACTTGGGCATTTCTCTCCCACACTCACACACAGCCTCTCCCACACTCGCACACTCATGCTCAGTCTCTCTTACACACTCAGACTCTCACACACAGCCTCTTTCACCACAAAGCCTCTCTCTCACAGTCTCATGCGCACGCGCACACACACACAGACTCTCAGTCCCTCTCAGAGTCTCTCACACACACACATACATGGCCTCTCTCATACACTCTTCTCTTCTCTCACAAATGTAAGTTTCTCTCTCACAATCTCTCAGTCTTTTTCCTTCACACACACAAGTCTCTCACACATAGTCTCCCTCAGTGTTTCTCAGTCTCTTTCACGCACCCACACAGTCTCTCTCATACCCATTCTCTCCCACACATACACACACTCACCCCTCAGCATAATGCCTAACACCATAAGGACCTAACGGATGTTGTCCCAAGCACAGCACTGGGTTTAAGGAACAGGAGAGGATGAAAACAAGGCGAAGGTGGCTGTGGGACAGGTGGAACAGGAGAATCTAGAAGACAGTTGGTGAACTAGGTGTTCTGGAGCTGGTGAGGTCTGGACAGGGTCACACACAGTGATGGGAGCTGAAGCTGGGAGCATGAGTGAGGTCACCGAGGATGCAGCAACAATTAAGAAGAGGGCTTAGGAGAGATCCTTGAGGAAAAATTTAAGAAATGAACAAAAAATAAGAGCCCACAAGGGACAGACTTAAAAAACAAATGAAGTCCCACCGGAAAAGAAGAAACCTAGGAGTGTCACAGCAGAAGACCAGGAAGAAGCAGCTGGAACGTCAGATGCCGTGGTAAAACAACAGCTGACACCAGAGCGTTGACAGTGTACCAGACCCTGTCTCAGACAGCATCTGTGCATCACCCCATGAAGACAACAGGCAAGTCTCCACTCAGTGACCTGACAGCAGTTCCAGCGAAGGGAACACCTGGCTGCAGTGACTTGAGGTGAAGCAGAGGCCTCTGAAGGGAAGAACACACACAGCAGAGTAAGTGGGGGGCAGAGCTGAAAGGGGAGCTTTCTAAAGTTAGGGCAGGAGCTTTTGATGCCAAAGATCCACGAAAGACAAAAAGGCTGGAGAGACCCAGAAGGGGTGACATGGAGTACGGGGTGGGGAGGCACGCGGGGCCTTAGGTCGAATGATGGGAAAGACAGTAATAAAAATGACACACACTGGAGGGAACGGAGATGGGGGGGCCTGCCTTTGGCCTCCTGCTTTCTTCTGGGAAATGTGAGCAACAAGATGGCCTTCTGAGGAAGGGCACGGGAAGACATCGGGCCAGCAACGACTTAGGGTGTGAGGAAGATGAGTATTTGTTGGCAACCGGCTGCTGAGCACGGGGCGGGCGGACAAGCAGCCCACAGGACATAGGGCACCTCTCTCTCCAGACAGGCCCCTCCGCGTGTGGCCACTGACACCACCACCTCCCTTGGCTGGTGTCCTGGGCCCCTGGGGCGGCACCACAGGCAGAGCATCCATTTTCAGACAACATATCCTCACATCAGCAACTCCCGCAGAGCCGGGAAGGGAAGCAGGTGCTACTCTTCTTACAGAAAGGGCAGGACTGCAGCTGTCCCTTCCCTGGCATGTTTAACCTGCCCCTGCTGTGCGGCCCAGAGGACACGTGGGGAAGACGAAGAGCCTATTCCAGTGGAGCTCATCACTTCAGCAATCACAGACAGACCAAAGAAAAACAAAACCCCTGCCAGCTGGAAACCCCACAAAATGAAGCAGCTGCAGGCAGTCGAGAAACCTAATCACACATTGAGGCAAATTGGCTGCCAAAGACCTCTGCAAAGCAGTAAAGAGCAAAGATGCCATTTTGATGACTAAGGTGTGGCCAACCCAAGCCATGGTCTTTTCAATCGCCACATATGCATGTGCAAGTTAGACAGTGGAAGAAGAAGACAGAAGAAGTGGTGATGCATTTAACTGTGGTGCTGGCCAAGAACACTAGTGCACTGTGATTGCCAAGACAGTCAGTCTGATAAGAAATTCCACCAGACAGCTCCTCAGAAGTGGGGTGGAGATGTGCGCTCACATCCGTGGACAGTCCTGAGGAAAGGCTGACGTCTAGGAAAGACATCGTAGATGATAAAGTAGAGGGTCAGCAAACACAAGGGAGACCCTCCGGGCAGTGTCAGATTACCCAACAAGCTAAGCACAGGCTTACCCGTGCTTACTTACTAATCTGTGGTGAACGATTTCATCTTCTCTTTACCCTATCAGCTTCTGCTGGAAAGCTATAGCTGACAGCTCTCTCTCTCCCAACCCTACAGCACCTTCCTAGAGAATCAAAGCCTTTTCAAATGTGCAATCCGATAGGGACAGAGCACCCAGTAAGCAAGGTAAGCACAGGTAACCTACCCTTGCCCCCATGACATGGACTGATGCAACAGCCACACCAATGAACTCAAACAGACCAAGCGTCGCAAAGATGGCAAGGTTGCTCTGAGTCAGCTAGCTCAATGGCAACAAACACCAACAGACATTTCACCAAGGCCCCTGCCCCTGGAGCAGGGCTTTTCAACAGTAGTACCACCACACCCATCCCACTGCCTCTGTGACAACCAAAACCGGCTCACACATAGCCCTGAGAACCAATGTCCCAAAAGCAACTCCAAAGAAGGCTTTCCTCACCTGTTAAGGACTTCATAAACTTCAGAAAGATTTGAAACCCTTGGGAAATTCAGTTCCTGTAATTTTGGGAAACAAATCGGGGAGAATAAAACATTTGCATTTTTTTATTATCTGCTTCAAGTGTTATCAAATGTCCGTTAAAATAACCTGGAAGATGCCAACTCCTACCATTTCCTCTTTTCAAACATTTTAACCACCCTCATTCCGTTGCTAAATAACAATGTCAGGGAACCCAGTATCCTGGGTTTCCTGGAAGGGTTGCAAAGGCCGGGTAAAGCTGATGTTCTTCAAGAGTCACAGGAGGGAACCCACCACGACGTGCTGTAAGCCTTCTGCAAATACTGACTAGGCACTGACCAAGCCCTCAAACACACTTGTGTTCTGCGATCTAAGTAAGTGCCTGAAGTACATACAAATAAGTCAAACCTGAACAAAGGAAAATAAGTATATATAAGCTGATATGATGACCTTCAGGTGCCACAATACAGAAGAAACCAGTACTGGTTTAAAAAAAGAAAAGAATTCAAAGAACTATTTAAAAAAAAAAAAAAAAGGCAAGAGGAAGCTAAGAGTTACTGGGACCAACAGGCCTTCCTTAACCAAGAAATCTCATTACTTTACCTTCCAGATATCCTTCGTTACATTCTTGGTGTCGATGAGAACAGGAAATAGGTGATGGATGTTGAGCTTAAACTGATCGTAGCTTTCTGAGGAGAAAGAGTCAGTCAAAAGTGAGGTGCTATGTTGGTAAAAATGGTAAGGAAAGTTCTCCAACCTAACTTCAAATAAAGTGAACAAAAACAAAACAATGTAAGAACTGAAAATGTCCTTAATCTTACTGTCAAGTATTTTTGGTCTCAAACCCACTCACCATCACAATATCTAAGCCAACAACCAACCCAACCCATGGCCATCGAGTTGATTCCAGCTTATGGGACCCTACTGGACAGAGCAGAACTGCCCTATAGGGTTTCCAAGGCTATAAATCTTTATGAGAGCAGACTGCCTCATCTTTCTCCCGTGGAGCAGCTGGGGGTTCAACCTGCCCACCTTCTGGTTAGCAGCCAATGTTTTAACCAATGCACCATGAGAGCTCTTTCAATACCTAACAGTGAAAATCAAATGCTTTCCAGGATGTTCTGTACTGCCAGCGTCCACTAACAGAGTTAGGGAAGTTCTAGCCAATGGGATGAGAGACAGAGGCATGACTGGAAAGGCAGATATGAAATCATCATTTGTAAATGAGTGTTCAGAGAGAATCCAACAAAAATCAACTACAATTCATTAGAATGAGAAATGGCCCGATAAAAGGAAAATAAACCCCAGTAGTTGGTGTATTTACCAAAGTTGCACACAGCACACCGTTCACCACAAAGCAAACCACTGCAGCCCCCCTCTCTTTGCCCTCCCGTGTCCTACTCCCCAAAGGCAGCCACCTGCTGTTCTGATTCCTCTGCTACTTATCCCCATATATTGAAGTAGCACACTCCTGCTGCTGGTGGGTTTGGGGTTTAGGCGTGTAGCTACTGACTTCCCTGGGTACGATGCTCAAGAACACCTCCGCTCCACCTCCTTCATCAGAGTCCCCTCACCCTCTCCCTTCCTCACCACACCATTACGTCATCTCCTTGGTACAACCATGGTGCATGAGTCCCAAAGGCTATGGGATATTCCACAGTAACATCTCCATCCTTGTGCAACTTTTGTTCTCCCAGGGGTTTTTGTTTTGCTGTTTGCTTAGTTTTTTCTACAAGTGCTTATTATTAATTTTACCCCTAATTTGCCCCTAATTCTCCCAAACTTCCCTCAACAGGCTCCAACGCTGATGTTTTATCAATTCATTCTTGGGGAAAATCTCTCCTGAAGCCTTCTCACCCCTTTTCATCTCAACTACTGTTCTCTTTACATTAATTTAATCCCGACAACAACCCAGTGACAGACGTACTATGATTATCTCCACCTTACAGGCAGGGAAACTGAAGGAGAGCTGGTCAAGTCACTTGCTGGAGATGACACATACACTATGGTGGGGGTGGGGATTCAGGCAGGGCTCTGGCACTAAGCTTTAACCACCATGTGTCTGCCCAACAATGGCCTCAGCCATGGGTAATGATGACTTGGCCCTACAACAGTATCACACAGACATTAAAAAGGACATTTACGAGGTCTTTAATGACATAAACACCCTGAGTACTTGAAAATGAGCCAATTACTTAGGGTTACTGCGATGTAATAAATTACATAGTGTGGCTTTTCTAGCCGTAAGTCTTTGTAAACTCCATAGTGGAATTTGCCATGAGTAGCTCCTGATTGTTAAAGTTATCCACCTGGGGTATTTCTGTTGGGAGCAGCACAAAGTAATTTTCTGGGAAGTTCGCTCTCTCAGGTATACAGAATTCTGATGTTGGGATTGCTTCGTTTGGCCACCCTGCCAGGCTCAAAAGGAACACTCCTAAAGGCAGGAGTCTCTCTGACTGCCAGCTGAGAAAGAAATGTTGCTGAGAGAAACACACTCCTGAGACACGCACTGGTGGGAGAGAGACTGAGACTGTTGGCTGAGAGACACCGGGCTGAGAGAGACCGAGTATGTTCCTGAACTTGAATTGTAGCCTGTTGCTTCCCTAATAATCCCCATAACCTGTGAGTTCTGTGTGGCCACTGCAGTGAATTATCAAACCCAGCAGAGAGGTGGTGGGTGCTGCAGGAGGAACGGTTGGTGTCAGGGTTGGTGAAAGGGCTGGAGGGAAGCAGCACATCTAGCCTCGCAGGAATAGGCCTTGGGCTACTACTGATGGTGATTCTGTCTTCCTTTTGTGGGCTTAGAGGAAGTCAGAAGATGCGGCCTCCTTGCCTCTTTGGCAGTTACCAAGTATGTAAAATCTCACATCAGAGGGAAAAACAAAAAGTGTTAGCACCAGAGCTGGGATTAGAGGTGACTGCTCTCCTTCACACATCTCTGGTTCAGTCAAGCTGTGTACAGTGGGAGTGAATGACGTCTGTAAACAGGGTGTGGGGGAGGAGTAGATCTCCTCCCCCCTGAGGAAATGCCCTGACTTCTACGCCCACAAAATAATGCCAGACAGAGCAGAGCACAGAAGCCGGACCTCTCCAGTAACCAGACACCTGGAGGAGCATGCACTCTGAGGGCTGCTTCAGAAGCACAAGCGGGGACCACTCCCCTTGCCAGACGGCCCAGGGAGATCAAAGGGAAGGAGGGCAGCAGGCCTGCCCCTACCTGGGAGAGGCCTGAAGAACTTCTCGTGAAGGTGCAGCAGGTCCATCATCATGTTATGCCCCACTAAGGGCTACTTAGAGGAAAACAACAGGTTAGAGAAACGGAATTTAGAAAAACAGAAACAAAACAAGGAGACAAAAGTAGCAGTTCCCTGCAAAGGATTTAACTTGAGAATCCACTGCAGGTCTGGTCACTTGGTCATCCATCCTGACCTTCATTCCACCCCCACAAGGCAGCCCAACTGCTTATATGCCAAAACTAGAAAATGAATAAAGAGAGCTGCAGGGACTTGGGCAGGGTCCCAGGGGGTCTAGACTGTGAAGTAGAGAAATGCAGTCCCCAGGTAGCTTTAGGTCAAACAGTACTGAAATCCCTATTTACCCAAAAAGAACAAAGAGTGAGCCCATGCTTCATGCAGGACAGTCTTTCCCCAAAGTAACCTACTGTCATTTGGTGAAAGCAAGCTTAGGTCCAGGAAGCCACCATCAATGAGAAGGGATCACTCAGGTTAAGGAATCTGGTCTTACTAGTGATGCACCATCAGTATCTACAGCATCTACAGAACATGGCGAACGACCAAGAAAGGAGGTTTTTCTCCCTACCTTCCGGGCTTTCACTAACATCTGGAAAAAGACGGAAAACCCCTTCGCAGAAAGGAGAATCTTCTCCTTCCAGGAGCTCTCTCGCTCACAAGACGCGTTCTCCAGATACCAGCGATGCTGTGAGTTCACCTTCTTCACTATCACCTGACGTGGAAAGGAGAGGTGAGGTCTTGGAATGGAATCCTGGGTTACTGCAAACAAAGTCAAGAGCCATGGCTCTTCATCTCAAAACAAGAAAGGAACGAGAGAAGCCCGTTTGGTCCAAAGGGAGCCAGGGAGCCAGTAAGGATTCCTCAGTCCAAGCGGAACTCACTTTGTGCTCCGTCAGCACCATCCAGACGTTGGGGAGAGCTTGCTGCAGCACTAGCTGTACCTCGAAGGCCTGGAACCCTGTGGCAAGGAGACATGGGCTTGCACAGAACCACACACAGACGCAGAACAGCATTCCGCTTCCCACAGAAGAGAAGCCGAGAGGAAGAGAAGCTAACGAACGGATGCAGCGAGCGATAAAAGGCAGGTCTGCCCGAAGCTAGAGAGCCCACAGGGCTCCCTCTCTACTTAGCTAATGCTGCCAGTAGACTCTGGTTTGATATCTGGGCCCAGGGACCCAGGGGAAGGGAGGCATGCTACGTACGGGTTTGCCCCAATGCCCCTTACGCCTACCAGTGATGCCCGGGAGAGTCATGCAATCGCCTTCCTCTGCCAGGTCCAGCCACCGCGTCACTTCCTCAATCACCACCTTGATTTGGTCTTTATCCAAAGAACTGAAAACAGGGCACAGGGAAGCAGAAATGGTGGAGATACCACGCCAGAACTGTCAGACAAACTGAAATGTATCTGAGTTTCCAGTGTTAATACAGGGAGCTAGTGAAGAAAATGGACTGCAAATAACCATTCATTTCCAGTTCTTATTATGTGACAGGAAACCAACACTTGGCCCATGTACTCGCATAAGCTCCTAGGAACACATTAGGTCCTGCTCCTCCCTTTGGAGGAGAAGTTACTGGGACCGGGCCAGTACTGAGCATTGCCATCAGTACGGCTTCTTCACGCTGCTTTCACAGGTGGTAAAGCTCTAGCCAGTGAAATAAGGAAAAGACAGGGCTCTGGTGACTCCATCTTCTCCTGTGTTTGAAACCAAAGTATGCATTTGCAGATAAGGAAAGACTTTTCTACAACATTTTGAAATAACAAAAGGTTAGAAATTCAAATTATGTTTTCCCATCACAAAGAGCTACATTTTAATATGAAAATCACCAACCAGAATTTTAAAAAAAACAATAAACCTCCAAAGGAGCTCTGGTAGCACAGTGCCTAAAGCACTTACTGCTAACCAGAAGCCTGGCGGTTCAAACCCACCAGCCACTCCTCGGAAAGAAGATGGGGCAATCTACTTCCATAGTGATACTGCCTCGGAAACCCAAGGAGGGGTTGCTATGAGTCGGGTCTGACTTGATGACACATAACAACAACAACAGCTACATAAAAGAGCTCTGTTGGCGTACTGCCTAAGGCAGTTGACTGCTAACCAGAAGGTTGGCAGTTCAAACCCACCAGCCACTCCATGAAAGGAAGACTGGGCAATCTACTTCTGTAAAGATTTACCACCTGGAAACCCAAAGGGGGTTGCTATGAGTCAGAATCGACTCAATGGCAGTGAGTTTGTGGTTTTTTTGTTTTTTTATTACATAAGAGAATTATCTGGACAATTAATTGTAACATTTCAGAATTAAAAGCTGACTAATTTAACCCTGCTAATTTAACCCTAGGAGCTCTGGTAGCATAGTGGCTAAAGCACTTGACTGCTCACCAGAAGGCTGGCGGTTCAAACCCACCAGCCACTCCTCGGAAGGAAGGTTGGGCAATCCTACTTCCGTAGTGATACTGCCTCGGAAACCCAAGGAGGGGTCGCTATGAGTCGGGCCGACTCGACAGCACATAACAACAACAACAATTTAACCCTCTTCATGATCATCTGAAAGCCCAAAGAACTAAAATAACTTGTTCACAATCAACCACCTAGTTCAGAGCAGTGGCCAGGCCAGCAACCAGTGACCTGCTGTGCCTGACACACCACCCTGCCCATCCACCCTGGTCACTCAGACTCTTAACTATACAGCAGTCCTGGGTTTGATTAACTAAGTTGCAAAGACTAGACATTGGGAACCAAAGACAGAAGGCAGACATCCTGCCCCCAGGGAACAGAGCAGAAACTAACAGTCAGAGCAAATCCATTTATACCAAGGCTTGAGTTCTAAAGTCCATGCACAGCACACAAGTGAGACAGCCAATGTTACACAGCATTTACTCTTTGAGCAGTCTTGGGGTTCACTCTTGCTTACCCTGCTCACAGTGCCAATCATGTATAACCAGTCTAGCGAAACTACAATTAACCACTCTGATGCTGACTTGTATGGTAGATAACAGATCCCACTCCATGTACCAAATGCATTTCTTGGAAAACTCAGCTTCCCTTCTCTGTTCAGTTCAGACCCTAGCTGCTCATGCAAGCCCTCTACTGTCAGCCACACAGGGATGGAGCAATGGGTACTTGCCACAAGCCTGGAAGTCTCTCTTGACTCCCTCCACTTCAGACCATCTGGCTCCTCTTACTCCTTTGGGTCCCCAAACAATCGATCAGCTTGTGGAGCTTACGGAGACACTATACTTGCGATAACAGCTTTAATATAACAAAAAGGGTACAAATGAAGAGACACACAGGGCAAGGTCTGAAAGGGGTCCCAGTTCAGAGCTTCCATGTCCTCAGGGGACACACTTACTCTCTTGAGGGCAGATGCTCCCCTGCTGCCATGTTCCAGGGCTTTTATCAGCAGCCAGTCTGTGTGCTTGCATTACGAGGTAGGTTTCCTATCCAGACTGGCATCAAACCAACCTTGACTTCTGATGAAATCCCTTAAGGTTATTTTCCCAAAAACCAGGGCTTTGAACTGGTTCATTCCAGATCAACCCCTGCTGGGAATTTGCTTTTCCACTCCAGAGATAATGAATCAGAATCAACATTTTAACAAGATCCATAACAATCACCTGGGTGTCTTGTCAAAAGGTAGATTCTGATTCAGTATATTTGTGGGGGGGGATGCAAATTCTCAGCAGGGAGTCTAACCAGAATGAATGAGTTTGAAACCCTGATAAAAACAAGGGCAAAGGTCAGGGAAGGGAATTCACTGCACCAAACCCTTCAGTAGATCTGAGGGAAGACCAACACAACATCTCACAGTTAAATCCAGCTAAACCAAAAAAACCAAACTCACTGCCATCAAGTCAGTTCTGAGTCATAACAACCTCCCACTGGGTTTCCAAGGATATAAATCTTTACGGAAGCAGACTGCCTTATCTTTCTTCCAAGGAGCAGCTAGTGGGTTTGAACCACCAACCTTCTGATTAGCAGCCAAATGCCTTAAACACCATGCCACCATAGCTTCTAAATCCAACAACAGAGCCATTGATTTCCCTCCAGCACTGGAATGGAGTTCTTATTTCTTTATTTGAGCACCAAATTAAGTCAATTTTTTCTTTTCCCTTCATTTTAAACACTAAAGGCATATTCAGCACAGTGAGAAGTTCACCTGGGAGCTGAACCTCCTGGAGGGAACAGCTGAATGCCATTTCTCACCTCTAGTACAGGAAAGGAATCATCAGCCCACAGAGGGTTCTGTTCTGGCTAAGGACACACAATGGACGCCATCTCATTAAAAGTGGAAAAAACAATGTCACCTTCCTCCTGGCAACGGCATACCTCTCCACAGGAAAGCAAAAAACAAAACGATGACAAACCCAAAAAACACTTGGAGGCATCAGCTCTACCTGCGAACTCTCCAGTTTCCACTCAGGATACTGTGTTTAATTTTTTTCTCTTGTTCTTCATTCATATATGGGATTCCATTTTTGAGAAACTAAAGAACAAAGCAAGGAGACTGGTCTGAGTATTCCTGTGCCAAGAGTGAAAAGAAGGTTTTCAGTTCATGAGGGCAAGTGAGAAAGGGGAAAGAAAGAACAGATTCATTCATGCATCAGGTGGCCCAGGTTACTTTTGTAACGGTCCCACTTCCCTCCTCCAATGACATACCTTGTTATAGTCAAAGCCATACTGATTCAAAAACTGAACACTAGAAGCCTGGAAAGAGAATTCTGAATCCAAAATCCCAAACGTTGTAGGGAAGAGAAAGAAGTTACATGAATGGGAAACATACCTATAAAAAAAGAGGTAAACATAAGAAGAAAAAGCCAAAACCATCTTTAACACTCTGGGTAAGGAAGTAGGCTTTGGGGTGGGCTCTTTCCTTCATTAAAGAGGTATATGAATGTGCCAAGTCCCATGACTGCCACTGGGACCAAGAGAGGAGGCATGGACCTGCCCTCAGGGAACAACCCAACTAGGCCTGCTCTTTAGTCAGAACTCACAGCACACTGCACTGTGACAGACAAGGTCCTCCCCGACAGATGGAATGTTCCTTCTGACTAGTGGGACCTGCATTCTACTGAGTCAGTATTTTAAATATTGCTCATTAAAACACGCTGCGATAATGGCCGTAATGAAGGCGCACAGAGAAACGATGCAAAGGGAAGGGAGAGCTAAGACACAGGGCAGGGGGTCAGAAAAGGCCCCACAGGAAAGGCACTGCTTTGAGAGTCTGGAAGGACAAGCTGGAGCTCACAAAGGGCACAGAAGCAAGAGGGAATATGGAATGTCTGGGATATAAGGGGCAGTCGCCTGAGGCAGAACTTGAAGGAGATGTAGAAGGTAAATGGGTAAGAGCCACATGTTTGCAAAAACTCTTTTATAAAGTGGAGGGCAGGTTTTGGACCCAGGACCCTTATGCTGAGAACCTCCTAAATCCAGAGGAAGATTTATACCAAGCTTCAGGGAGATCTTCAAGGAGACAAGGACCATCCCTACCCCACACCTGAACTGGTACCTTGAATTCAGACTTCTAGTCTCTTAAAACTGTGAGAGATTAAGTTTCAGTTTGTCAAAGGAAAAAAAAGAAGTCTTTATACATACTTGTTGGCCTCTCCTTTGACACTGGAAAACACAGACAACCCTGGAAGAGTGAGAGCAGAGGGAATGAGTACCTAAGCTACTGAAGTTCCCACAAAGACACAATGGTGCAAAGTGCTTTGCATCCCCAGATACTATTCTGGGTTTAGAACAGTTTAACATCCTCATTTAAAAACAGAGAGAGACACAAAGTCAATGTTTGGGTACATTCTCGCCTTAGGATAAACATTAACAGACTCTCATCGACAGAAGCATGATATAGTGGAAGAGCCGAGAATAACTCAAGCTGTAAGATCCACAGAGTTGTGTACAAGCAAAAGCTCACAGTGGTTTTGGAAGCCAGTGCAGCCTCATAACTCAGAAAAGTTCACTACTTTCCAAGATACTAATTTACAAATAGCATGTTCACTTTAAAACCTTTTTAAGACCCATGGGACGTATATCACCCATCAATATTTTCAGCAGCTCAGGTTTCCTGGGAAGCTGCTGTGTAGTTGCAGCATGTGTGGTCCTCTGGCAGGGACCTGTGTAACTGTATGAATCTGAAGAAACATACCTCATCCCACCAATCCTAGCACAAGAGTCCTCTTGGGACATATGTGTCCCACATAACTGTATCACAATTTATATTACCTCAAAAACATTTTTTCCTTGATTTCTGCATGCCTTTCATTATTGAAAACATTTGGTATCAACAAAAAAAAAAATTCAAAGCAGAAAACTGGGTCATGAAAAGGCTAAAAAAAATGAGACAGAAAAACAAAAATAGATGACTACAGAATTATTACCAAAAAAATACATCAGCCTATTGAGTCCAGGCAAAAAGGAAGATTTAGTAAAGGCAGACTTGAAGCATGTAAATTATTAAATTGTAATTCACACTAAAATTACTAAAATATAACTGGAGATGGTTCTTCAAACACAGAAATAATTTTATAGTTTCAAAATTAACCAGAGGAAATACCAGAAATCAGAGAGTAAAAAAATTATAAATTTAACTACTTAAAATGACTGTATTGTTCAAAAGACCACACGCAAAGTGAAAAACACTTCAAAGTAGGGAAAAACAACAGAAACAGGAAACCAAGAGCAAAAACAACGCAACACACTGTCGTCAAGTCAGATCCGATTCATAGTGAGCCCATCTTGGGTTTCTGAGGTGGTGTCACTATGGAAGAAGATTGCCCAACCTTCCTTCCGAGGAGTGGCTGGTGGGTTTAACCGCCAGCCTTGTGGTTAGCAATCAAATGCCTTAGGCATTACGCCACCAGAGACCCTAATCAAGAGCTGGTCCCTACGTTTTTCAGAAGTCCTACATTAAGAAAAACAACCACAGGCATTGAGGAAGAAGACGACATAGAGAGTGCATGGGAGGTACAGACAAAAAAGATACACTCTTTTGCACATACAGTGCTGTGTTGTTACTGATGGCAAACCTTGATCTACGGGCAGATAGATGGGTGGACAGGCTGAACTATTAGGTATGTCTGTGCAGGGAGGAGTATGGCCGTGACCATGTATAGGGTTGTCCGACAATGTTTCTACAAGTATATCTGTATATTCTGTAAGAATTCCCAGGTATATAGTAGAGCTGACCATTTAAATGCAACAATGGGTCTCTCTTCATCCAGAGCAAACAAGAATGAAGAAAACCAAAGACACATGGAAACAATTAGTCCAAGCAACTGGTAAACCATGAGATTCTCATCCTATATGACTATGAGACCAGAAGAACTAGATAGTTCCCAGCTGAACATATACATTAGGCAAATACACTTCTTGGTGAGATAAATCATGGGAGAATAGAAGGGCTGCGCATGCACTGGGAGACAGCTCAGGGGGCAGGAGTGCATGGAAGGAAAGGACACAGGGAAGAGGTAACTATGGGGAGAAGTGGGAGGGGAGCTGTTGCACTGTGGGAAACTGCAGTCAACGTCATGAGACAAAGTATATATGAGCTGCTGTATGAAAAATGAATTTCCTCTGTAAACTTTCACCCAAATCACAATCAAAATTTAAAAAAGAAGAAGAAGAATTCCCTGATATATAGTAGAACTGATAAAGGACACGGTTGTAGTCACTTCTTGGCCACAGCCAGCTACCCAGAGGTCTCAGAGGATATTAAGCACAATTGGCATAACATACTACATAAAAACATTGTTCCACATCCCACTGTGACAAGTAGCGACTGGGATCTCAGAAACTTAGAATGCGGCCATCTAGATGCAACAATGGGTCTCTCCTTGTCCAGAGCAAAGAAGATGAAGAAAATCAAAGACACGTGGAAACAATTACTCCAAGCACCTGGTACACCACACGATCCTCGGCCTATATGACTGTGAGACCAGAAAAACTAGAATGGTATCCAGCTACCACTGTCAACTACTCAGAGGGGGGTCTATGTAGGAGATCCTGGATAGAGTGGGAGAACAATGTGGAACAAAACGCAAAATCATAGGGGGAAAAAAAAGGGGACCAGATTTGCTGGTCTGATAGAGCCTGATGGTACCACTGAGACTATGGGCCGTAGTCATTTAGCTGCTACGGAAAAGGTCAGCAGTTCAAATCCACTGGCCACTCTTTGGGAGAAAGACGAAGCAGTCTGCTGCACTTCAGGTCTGGAACTGAACCCACTCCCGTGGCTTCCAGCCAAACAAAAGACAGGTATAGGAGCTAAACATTTACATTAGGTAGATACATTACTTGGAGAGAACAATCATGGGTGAATAGAAGGGCTGTGTGCACAGGGAGACAGCTCTGGGGGCAGGAGTGCACGGGAGGGAAGGACATAGGGAAGAGTAACTATGGGGAGGAAG